AGTGCCCCTGGGTATTATGATTTCTAAGACCGGGAGATCGATGCACTGGCGGAATCACGATGTTTGGGTCACTGGAATGCCTTCCGGTCTTTTAAAGCATGGTATTTATATATGAAGACATGTATAAATAATTATAAAAAAATTAATTTATTGATTAATTATCTTAAAGACATATAATTGGATCAATTAAAATTTACATATGTGTCATGTATTTTGTCCCTTTATGTAATATCTAATTGGGATCAATAAAAATTCATTTATTGAGTATTCAATTTAACTTTAAATAAATAAAGATAATATTTAAATTTGATTAATTAAAATTAAGATTCTGAATATCAAAGCATAAGACCCTTGAAGCTAAATCTCCAAATTCAAATCTAAAATCTATGATCTCTCAAAAATTTTAAATCTAAAATACACAAAAGTTATGTATACAATATAATTCTTAAATTATCTTAAAGTTATTCAATTTAGTATTTTAGCTAAAAACATATTTAATTACTCCATAAAATATTTAATACAAGTGAACCAAAATATCAATAATAATTACACCTGATACAATTTTCATAATCAAAGGAGTAATTAAAAGTTACGAATTTTAAACTAATTATGAAATTAAATGTGTTTGAAAATACTATAATGGAAAACTAAAAGTTTAAAAACACGGTATAATAATAATATAAAAAAATTTATAGATAATTTATTTAAAAGCATATACATAAAATGCTTTTTAAAATTAACATTCAAGATATCGTAAGATATAATATAAAGACATATACATAAACTTCAAACTTCATAACTACATTCAACCATCACGAATAGCTATAACAACAAAAAATATATTTATGAGTTTGTAAGTGTGCATCCTATCCAAAATCCCTTTGTTTTTTTCAATCAAATGCCTGTTTGGAAGTATATCAAACCTAAGCCAAGGGCATTGCAATAAGGGATTATGTCTTTGATAATTTCAAGTTTTACAAACGTTGCCTCCGGCTTATATTTCCACTTGAGTCGCTGCTAGAGGAAGAAGGATTGAGCCCGTATTCACTCGTATTACCATAGTCGCTACTTCCGTAGTCTTGGCAGTCCAAGGCCATTTTCCTAATCTTCTTCATGTCTATACCATGGGCATTAGTATCATAGTCATAGCTAGCCATTGAGCTGAACCTTGAACTTTGGCCAGGTCTCATAGCGTCATTTAAGTCATCCATTGAAACATCATCTTCCAGTGCCCGCACAATCTGTTTCACATGCATACATATGATTGATCAATACTTGCCCTGTTTAGAATTTTTTTGAAGCATTGAAATATATTGTTTGTCTCCCTTTCTCGGCCTCGCCCATGGATAGAAATTTACAAAGTGAGTATTCAGGTATGGTGGTAGGTGCATATATATGAAGTATTAGGTAGCAAATCATATTCAGGGAAAATAAGGTGCTTAAACATGTAACTCAACTTTTCCTAACAAGACCAGAAATCTAAAGTATGTGGAGTTCATTTACCTGCCGCATTTTTGGTCGCCTTCTAGCAGAATGCCTAACACATGCACCAGCACATGCAACCATTCGTGCCATCTCATGTTGGACAAAATTATTCTCCAAGCGTGGATCCACCAATTGACTGAAGTTTTCATCCTCCATTGCACTAGCGCATAAGGGTCTAGCCTGTTAATGCATATAAAGTTGAAATTTTCACTATTAGTATCTCCGAGTTAAAACTTAAAGCTTATCTATTAACAAAGAGACATGTCGCACCCAATCTACTAAGCTCTCATCCATCTCCCCAGTCAGGTCCAAAGGCCGACGTCCAGTTATCAATTCCAAGAGCACAACACCAAAGGAGAAAACATCAGATTTATCTGTCAGCTTGCCACTTGATGCGTATTCAGGAGCTAAGTAACTGCATCAGGTATTTTAATCAGATATATCAGCCCAAAGCTTGTACATTCAAAGAATCTAACTAATTTTGCTTACCCGAATGTTCCCATGACACGAGTTGAGACATGAGTATTGTTATCTTGAGAAAGTTTAGCCAACCCAAAATCTGCCACCTATTTTCGCAATTCAACATTTTCGAATAAGCTGAAACATACAAATCGATCCAATCAAATTATATTTTCAAGGTTATGACATACCTTGGCTTCAAAACTGAAATCAAGTAGGATGTTGGCAGATTTGATGTCTCTGTGAATAATGCGAGGGTGGCCTGCATTCCTCAGATGGGTTAGAAGAGAAGAAGAAGGAATGTGCGGTACAGTGTTCAGTAATGCTATATAAATTACTTACAATCTTCATGCAAATATGCAAGACCTTTAGCTGCTCCCAGTGCAATCTTGAGCCTAGTAGGCCAATCCATGGGTGGAAGATCTTTCTCTGCAATCAAACAATGATTCCATTAAATACGAACACTTAGAATTAGCATGATGTAAGTTTGACTTATCTCCATTTTATCAAAGAATCTTATTAACGTACGGTTATGTTACTCTCAGAATCTATATGTGAGTTAGTGATATTGCCAATAAAGGGTAATGTAGCCATTGCCTACCATGGAGGTGGAATTCGAGAGTTTTATTAGGCAGGAATTCGTAGACCAACATCTTTTTATCTCCTGCAATGGAATACCCATCAAGAGATACAAGGTGGCGATGATGGACACGGCTAATAATCTCAACTTCAGCCTGAAATTCACGCTCACCCTGCCCGCTACCAGATTTGAGACTTTTAACAGCTACTTCTTTGCCATTGGGCAAAACTCCTTTATGGACGAACCCAAACCCACCTTGACCCAACAAGTTAGCTTCAGAGAACCCTTGGGTTGCAACCGCTAGGTCTTCATAGGTGAAAGTGCTTTGTTTAAGCCCTAAAGCCACAGGTGAATATGCGGATGGCAAAAGTGAACCATGTTGACCTAAGTACCTTGAGCTTATTTCACTTGTCAAAGATGGTATTTGCCCTTGTGGTTCTTGTGGCCACCCTCCACGACCTGCATTTCCACCGGGCGGCGGTGGTAAATTGATGGCAAGGTGATAATCATTAGCTTGGTACCCATTGTTCATGTTGTTTTGTCTTTTTAGACTCAACACATTTCCATATCCGACGCCACCTATCCATTAACGCATTCTTAATCAGAAGGCATGGCTTTTTTTAAGATAGATGATAGTCACATTTTTTGCATTTTGAAATATATTTACCGTTTGGTGGCATAGAATTTTTGTGGTATTGAATATGATTATCGAACTTTGACTTCTTTTTCCTTCTGTTGCATACTGCAATGATGAGCGCTATAACGAGAATAAGCAACAAACCAATGCCAACTGAAACACCTATTATAATTGGCAAAGACGGTGACGATGATGTACTACTTGTTGATGAATTTGATGATTTTGGAGGTGGAGGTGACAATATTCTTGGCGGGGAAGCACGAGTTGGTGAGCCATTTTCAGTAGCTAACTTTGGTGTTGGCGACAGCGGTGGCGGTGATGCTGGAGTTTGAATAGCTGTGGCAGCATTATTTTGATTACTGCCATTGTTTTTATCATTAGTTGGTGGTGGAGGTGATGGTGGGGGTGACGATGATGATGATGATGACGAAGAGGGTGGTGGTGGTGATGATGATAATGACGATGACGGGGGTGGTGGTGGTGAAGAGGATGAAGATGAAGATGATGGAGATGACTTTGACTCCTGCGCAGGTGGTGGGGAAGCTGATTGTCGTGGTGGAGTTGAGTCAACTATTGGCGACGACGGTGGTGGTAGTGATGAAATAGATGTTGAATTTGGAGAACCTTCAGGGGAAGAAGCCATTTGGGGTATTTCCGACAAAGTTTACCCTTGAAAGGTGCCAGAAAAACCCCTTTTCCCCTGCAAATGATGCCTTATGAACCTCTGCAATGGCAAGTAAAAGAAACATTAGTCTTTATCAAAACATATACCACAAGCTTAGCCATGAATGAAAACAAATGTAGTCCAAAAACTGTTAGCTCGAATCCCATTTACTCAAATATAAATTTGAAAAATTAACAAGAAAAGAAAAAGAGTACTTGTGGGAAAAAAGTAGAAGGATTCTCAGAGGGAGGGGGAAAGAAAGATTTTGCTAAGTAATAACTCCATCAAACATGGTGAGAACCATGAGTTTCCTTTCCCTGAATCATCTCCTTAAATGGAGGAGAATCTCTATTTGGAATTCTAATTATAAGATGGTGTGTTTCTTTGTTATATTTTGCCAATGTTTGTCAAAGCTCTTATTTTGCCAACACAAATTGTAATGTAAAGCAGTGAAAAGGCATAGGTGATTAGTTTTCTGTTGTATTTTATCTGTCGGCCAACTTCCTTTCTACTCTGGAGTTGGTTATGCAATTTTCACCTATATAAGACCTGTTAAGGCATCCAATTGAACATCTATAAAATTGTATAACAACTGTCGATACTCAATAAATCGACCCATATTTACACCCTTAACAACCACATTTGTAGAATGATATTATATTGTGTTATTATAATTTGATGGTATAGTATTTAAAAAAGTTTTTGAATTATTTAAAAAATTTTAGAAGTTACTTTACATATATGCATTAATTATATTTTTATTTTATGTTAAATAGATACTTATAATTGACGATTAAGTAATTATCATTAATCAAAATATTACTTGTCATTTTTTATACTGCATGATGCTTCCGTTGATATGTTGTTGTAAATTGTGATGTGACATGCTAATGTGCTCACGTGATATTTTTATCTCTAATTTAGCACTACATGAATATAAAATAATAAATAATATTATAATTAATGATAATTAATCAATTATTAATTATAATTATATATTTGATGTAAAATAAAAATATAAAAATTTGATTGAAGATTATAAAAAATGTAAATTTATTTAATTTTTTAAAATAATTTAGAAAAGTTTTAAAACATTATCCTTAATTATACTTCTGATTATTTTTTTAATACAATTTCTTCTTATTTAAATTGAATTGAAAGTCTATCAACCTAACTTTTGGTTTTCCCTAAATGATAAAATATAAGGAATAAACAAAGAAACCGAAAAACACAGCAACTGCTCTCGTTGAGAGTTGAACTCAAGACCTCCCGCTTACTAAACGGGTGCTCTAACCAACTGAGCTACGAGAGCTGCGCGAAAGGCTTGCGTTACTTAACATATTGATTTGATAAATGACAGACCAATCAACAGCAAGTCTGTTTAGCAGTCCACATGGGATACTCGGGTTAGACGAAACTGCAGTCGAAGCTGTAACGCAAACCTTCCCCCCAATTTCACTTGAAAAATAAAAAACCAAAAATATAATTACAAAAATGCCTAATTACAGGTCAGTCCAGCTTTTCCATGACTTAGCAGTGAGAGAAAGAGAGAGACAGAAAAAAGAAAAAGAGTAGAAGAAGCCTGGAAAAAAAGGCTAGAAAATTCAGTCAATTTTCCTTTCGAATTTTCTCTGTCAGACAAACAAGTCCACGAGCCCCTCACTCACTCTTTCTTTCTAGATATAGAAAATTTTCCCTGTCTATATCTATAGATCCGCCTATTTCTTACCGTTTCGTACGATGCCATCTCGCCGTAGAACCCTCTTGAAGGTCATCATCCTCGGCGATAGCGGGTTAGTTTTCTTTTTCTTTTTTACACCTGTCCGTATAATTATACATACCAAGACGCATGTGTGTGCTTTTCTTTTAATTCATTTCTAGGGTTTTCCGTACGGATCTTTAAATATCTTTCGATTCGAATTACTGGTTTCGTCTGTGGTTAAGCCCTTGTTAGTTTCCCTTGCGAATTTCTTTGAAATTTTTATTAATTAATTTTTTTTAGAGATTCAGTGTTTATGATTGTGACTGATCTGTGATTTACAGGGTAGGGAAGACTTCTTTGATGAATCAGTATCCTGCAGCAGTCTTTGCCAGTTATTAATAAAATTTGAAGTCGTATTTAATTATTAATTAATAGTAAATTTTATTACTATGAGTTATGGTATTGTTGGCCTTTACATTTTGCTTTTAGATATGTAAATAAAAAGTTTAGCAATCAGTATAAGGCTACGATCGGAGCCGATTTTTTGACAAAGGAAGTGCAGTTTGAGGATAGGCTTTTCACCTTACAGGTTAGATTTATATTTACTTTTCTCTATATCTGATTTAGTATAAAGTTAATATCTTTTTTCTAATGCCCGAATGCAAGCATTTTAACATTTTAATGAGCTTGCTTCAGTAGTTGCATTTGTTTTTCGGGATCTTAATTTTTCCATATTGAAAAATGGTGTATTAGGCTTGATTTTGATCTGTGGCTCATGAAGCAAGCATAGTTTTGAACATCTTCATATGGAATATGAATGGAGCTTAATGAGGATTTCTTAATTGCATTTAAGATCTGAAACAAATGCATCTTACTTTGCACTATGATCTCATTAGTACAAAACTGCCAGTTGCACTCCTTTTACATTCATCAAAAGGCTTGTTGAAAGTTTCTTTTTCTCTATTTATATCGTTGAGGATGAGCAATCTTGCAATGATTTAGAATGCGATGGCTCATTAATTGGTCTGAGGTTGATCACTGGATGAATTTTCTTCATCAAGCAGGGTTCTGTGGTTTAGCAATAGACAACCTTATGACTACCATTGAGTATTTGTCTAGCAAATTGTAGCATTGCATTCTAAAATGATTCCGGGTTTTATAGTAGCTTTTGTGTTATTTGAGTGTGCACTTTGCTCAAAATTCATTGATGTTCTCTTTTCCCAGATCTGGGATACCGCTGGCCAGGAAAGATTCCAGAGCCTAGGTGTTGCTTTCTACCGTGGTGCTGATTGCTGCGTTCTTGTATATGATGTCAACTCAATGAAATCATTTGACAACCTAAACAACTGGAGAGAAGAGTTCCTTATTCAGGTATATACTCTGAACCCCTGTGAATTCCGCTGGAAATTATGTCAAACAAACTCTCCATGATTTATTCAGTAAAAGAATGCTGATCTGAGAAACCTCCTGCAGGCAAGCCCTTCAGATCCAGAGAATTTCCCATTTGTTGTTTTGGGAAACAAAATTGATGTGGATGGTGGAAACAGTAGAGTGGTATGTATTTTCTTAATTTTTTCTACCTCTTCAATGGCACTACTCTCTCTCTCCTTTGACAAAGGTTCAATTATCTGCTTCTGCTGGACTGTCTAGGTGTCTGAGAAAAAGGCACGAGCGTGGTGTGCCTCTAAAGGAAATATCCCATATTTTGAGACCTCTGCCAAGGAGGGAGTTAATGTGGAAGAAGCTTTCCAGTGCATAGCAAAGAATGCCCTGAAGAGTGGGGAAGAGGAAGAAATGTAAGTTAAAACTTATAATCAGTCCTATCCATACACGCATAAACATATCTAGTTAATTTTGAGTTTTGGGAAAACCTGAAAACTTGTACTTTAGTAGTGTTAACTGTAACAGTAATCGATTGCTACATATAGGTATTCAATACGTACTTGAATCAACAACTTGATTGGCAGCTGCAAGTACAACTGTGTCTTAAATCTGCTGAGCCAAATTTGGCTTAGTCCATGCATTATTTAATTATCTTTCTATGTATTAATATTTTGAGAGGTGACAATATTTGCATAACATGTTGATTTTGAGGACCCATAGTTGCAGATTGCAAATTGTTAAACAGCTTAGATCCTGAAATTATTTATCAGTAGTTTTTTCTTCATTTGTCTTTTTATAGTCTGACAATTTCATTCTTATTTGCTCTTGTTGTTCTGGTGGGATATTTCGATCATGAAGATACTTGCCTGACACCATTGATGTTGCAAGCAGCAGCCGGCCAAGGTCAACGGGATGTGAATGTTGAAATATGTTGCTATGTGATTTTTTTTTGGCTGCAATAAATGTCTTTATAAGTGTTACGAATGATTTGACCTTTCCAATCATTTTTATGGATTTGTATGACGCTACACTGTACATTAGTGTGTGTGGAGAGAAACAAAATGGTCTGTTAATGGTGGCTGGATTTAGTTGTCTGGTGCTTTGGTAATGCTTTAAGTTGTTCATTATTCAGCACTGTCCGAGTATTGTTCCCAAGAAATGTTCAAATTTTTTCGAGCGAGGATGGATTGTGTCCTGTTTCACCTGTAGCTGAAAGCTGTGTTAATGCTAACTTTCCCGCTTTACTATCAGGAAGAGCGCAAATGTACGGAATTTTGGTTTTCAAAAAAGGATTTGAAAAGGAAGAAGCATCGGATGTTCCGCAACCAAAACATTGGTCCAATGAATACTGACTGATTCACTGTAGATAGAAGAATTCTCACCCATCGTCTCGCTTGCAAATCCCTAGGGTTTATGTCTTTATGCCTTGCGATTTGACTAGATTTTTCCGGTAAAGGAAGTCTTAATGCTACAACTCATTCAAAACCTAAATGGAAGAGGGGAGCTACTCATCCAGAGAACAGCAGAGACAAGGGAGATCCGATTCAAAGATTTACATCATTTTTATAATATTAAGACGTCTCTGCCCATATTCATAAATGGAATACATCAGTTACATCTCCCACACTTGCACCTTAAGATGCCCAAGAATTGGTAAAGGTTATGGATGTTTAATTTGCACTAACTAAATTTATCAACTAACCTTACAAAAATACAAACACAAGAAGAAAATTCCAAGTTAGAAGACTCAACCATTTTGACTTAAATAGGATCGAAGCCCCAGTAATGGTAGCCCTGCAGGGGAGAACAACAAGCATCTGCTCCTTCCTCGTATGATGATGAGATGCCATTGCCAGCTGAATATGTAATGTATGAGGTGGCTTCTGGATTGCTCAGAGATAATCAATGCTGTGGCTGAAATTATCACAGGAAAAACACCAAAATGAGTTTGCTACAATTCAGCTGGGTGAAACTCAAAAGTTTTTGAAAGCACTTAAAAAGACCGGCAACAATAACAAGAACAAAAACCACAACAAAAAAAGAGATACTCACCTGGTAAACCTCATGATAGATGGCTGTTGTATAAGAATGGATGAAAATTTTCTATTCACAAGTAATCTGAATAGAGACTACTTTGATCCAACTGAAGAAAGATTATCCGAGCTAGCAGGCCGAATTGAACTTCCTGCAACTGTTGTGGATACAAATGAGTTGGGAGGGGTAGGAGCCATAGGCCCCATGGGTCTTGACATTGGTGGCCTTGGGGCAGTCATGCTCATAGGAGGCCTTGCAACAGAATTTGCGAAGTTTGCTGCAATTCTATTTGCAGTACTTGTAGGTGGCATTGCTCTAGATGAGGAAGCTGGCAAGCCCAGTCGAGCAGCTATTATCTGTGCTCGCTCATGGTAAAGCCTCTGCCTTGACCTGTCCAATTGCTCCTTCACCCTCATTATGACACCCTCCATTTCATTGAAGGAAGCTAATTTGGTTTCCATCTTATGTAACTGCATAGTAAAGCCTCCAAAAACTTAGATTTTGCTCAAGTTGGAAATATAGAAAAAGGAGACTGCATGGACTTTGCAATGAAACTACCTGCTTTTCTATTAATGATGTAGTAAGTTGTCGAATTTGGTCCTCTTCCTGGTCTGCCAGAAGTTTTGCCTTCACTGTTGCTGCTGAGAGTGCTGTAACTGCAGCACGCTTTAATTTATCAATGCTAAGATCACCTATTGTCTCTGTAGCATCATGGTTCTTGTTTTTACCTTCTTTAATCTCATCTGCAAAGAACAATAATATGATGAGACACAATAAAAAAGTACGCATTTTTCCTACTGGCAGTTAATATGCCATTTATCTTTTAGTGAACATTGTAAAAACATCACCATCTATCAAGGTTCAATTTTCCAAGCTGCTCTGCATAAAATTAAGGAAGACATAATATGCTTAATCTCATAGAACCAAGCATTGCTTTCAGCATTTATATTTTAAATCAGACTTGTTAAATATTTCTACATATTCCCGTAAGTTAGTAACTAGCATTTTCAGTACAACTGGCTACTGTTCCCATAACTTCCACACTCCAAACAAGACATTTATAGAGAAAAGAAGAAAAACCTGTGGTTGCTCCATTTTCGTTCAAATTATTTGATGTGACTAATTGATGAGGCTCACTCCTTTCTAATGGTTGTGAATCAGACACCATTTCAACATCATTTGATACCTCTGTAGGCTGTGTAGGTTCTCCAACAGAAGTTGATTTAACTGGTTGTTGCTCATTCTTCCCTCTGGATGGAGAACCAGGAACTGTCTCTACATTTTGTAAAGCCTCTGCTGGTTCAGATAGCTCTCCAACTGGCTTTGATACAGCTGCATCACAAGGTTCATTCTTTTCCAATGGAATAGAGTCAGTCATGTCCACTTCCTTCACTGACTCTGTAGGCTGAGAAGGCTCTTCCACTAAGGTTTCCTTCCCCCCTGTCTCCTCGACAGAACTTAGCAAAACCTGGGAAGCCAAGTTATCTGATTCCTTCATTAAGCTTGGTTGATGATCCTTTGATTGATCAATAATGCTGGATTCATTCAAATTAGCCTCTTTATCTTCCTCATTAGTTGCTAAAGTGTTTGGCTCTTTTTTATCGGTGGATAGCTCATTAGGTGAAGCTGATGTCACCTTTTCTTCAGGAACAGAAACTTCAGCGTTTTGGTCACCATGGTTGCTCAATGAATTTTTCTGATCCAGAACTGGGGTAGACTTATCCTCCTTGGGGCTTTTTTCTTCCAGGTTTTCCACATTCTGAGCATCCCGATTAGCCATACCATTGACAACACTGCCAATCTCTTACTAACATCAGATACAATATTCAGAAATTGCTAAGGAATTATAAGCTTGAAATAGGTTAACATACCTTTCAGAAGCATTTGGTTCCTTGTCATCTGGAGGATCTTCCAAAAGAAAGCAGTTCCTTGCAGCCAGTTGAACACTGGGAGAACTACCTGATAAGGATTTCAGTGAACTTTGGGCTGAAGCAGCAGCAATCTTGGGTCCAACCAGCTGTGCAAAAAAACCTGCCTGCAATGAGAGATACATAAAGTTGTCATACATCACCACCAAATGGACAGAGGATAAGTATTTATAAACATTTTCAAGAGAAAAAGTTGCAAAGTTTAATGAAGCAAATTTATGGTACCAGAAGTGATGAGATCGTTCATAAACAAGTACAAAGCATGTAATAGACTAATAAAGGACTTCAAGAGGCATGTGATAGATTAATGAGAATTCAGTATAGCATAACAATCATTTATAAGAATGAGGAAAAAATGACCATGAAAAACTGTTACCAATGTGCAGAAAAGCAAAATGCCATAGAACAGAATTTTGTGGTTTGATCATTCATTTGCTGATCAAGCAAGCCACCGAAACTTTTATTTTGGAGGATCAGAAAATCTGAATGTAAGTCCAAGGATGCTTGACAATAATTTCATGAAAAATAACTGCCAACAGTCACCTAAATAGAATCAAAAGACTGGTTCAATTGTTTCATTAGCAGGTAAAGAAGCAGCTTGAAAGGTATAAGTACAGCCACGTCAAGTCATGTCCTCAACCCTTTCCAACAGCATATTTTACATTTTGAAGTACATCCATCAACATATAACTTTTCATATGGAGCAAACTCAATAAACCATTTAAAATTATTCTAAAAGCACAAATAAATGATTCCCTGAAAAATTTTTAAGATAATAAGGTTATTTCAGAAGCCATGTACAAAATTGATATATTCAAAATGCTAAATAAACTCAGTTTCCCCTTCATATACATCGATTGATAAAAACCTAATTATGTACTTAAATGTTCAACTTACCAATGCCATGACAGGATTTCCCACATCAGCAAATGAGAGTGAGCTTTCAGACGTTAAAATATAACCAACAGCTTCAAATGCCTCCCTTAGAGCGATAAGTGCACAGTTTTCATTTGTGTCTTGTCCACCCTTTGCTTCATTAGTTTCTTCTGGCTTTGATGTTTCTGGATCAACTTTAGCATCAGTTCCAGTTTCTGGTTTCAACGTTTCCACACTAACTCTCACTTCGTTTTCATCTTCAGGTTTTGAAGTTTCCATCGATGTAGTCTGGGCCTGATCCTCTTGAGGAGTAGTCTTGCTCCCTGTCTTTTCAGAGACATCTTTAGAGACAGATGTTTCATCACTCATTGCAGCAGGTCCAGTAGATTCTTTGGAATTGTTATCTATATTATTGTCACAATTATAGAATACGTCCTCAATTGGCATTTGAACAAAGTGCAGTATGCATTGAGCTTTGGTTTTTGTAGCAACATGCTCCGCAATCTCATTCCAGTTTTCTTTATAGAGTTCAAGTGCCTCAAGGAGAAGGAGGGTTTCCTGATCTGTCCACTTGCCGCCACTAAGACCAGGGGCCTCAGCAGGCTCCATGAGAATAAAATCTGAAGAAGACATGCCGGAGCCGAACTTCCCATTGCTAAAGCAATCAGAACATAAGTCAAAATCTGCCTGTCAAATACAAACATAATCAGCATCATAAGAAGATGGGAACCCAGTTTACTAAATTAGTTATATTCGCATTATGACCATTCATTTCATACAAAGATTCACGGATCATAGGCTCATAGCGTTATTGTTAGTAAATAATGAATCAAGCATAAAACAGACTATGCAGGTGGTGCTAAGTATTGTGATTTCTTATTTGCTGAACACCCATTTCGATACCACTTGGATGGAGAGCTGTAGCTAAAAAGGCTTGTAGATTTCCTTACCACTTGGCTTGACCAAAAGGCGTCGTACAAATTTACATTTTTTAGAAGTAGAATTCCCTCTTACTCTCGTAGAAATATAAGACTCGTTGGAAAATAAACAAAAGTGAGTGTGTGTGTGCGTGTGTCTGTGTGTGTATGTATGTATCAATTTAATCCAAGCAAGATTAAACCATTGACTACCACCATAAGGAACAAGTGTGCACATATGTCTGCTTGGACAGACATAACTAGTGCAGTAATTTTGCTCTTGCATAGTGAACTAAATAATTTGAGGTTCAGACAATTATTTATTGGTCAGTAACTAACCTGCTTCTGGCAATGGTAGCGTTTCCGGGAGCAATCAGCTGAACAAGAATTGCAATGGTACTCAACAGCTGGCCCCTCAGGTCTGACCAAGTCCTCAACAATTGCAGACTCTGGAAGAAACCCATATGGTACAGATGGAGTTGAAAGGCTAGGCCCGGGAACAACTGGTGGGCGTGATTCAATTGCCTCAAAGCGAAACAATTTTTCAAGTAAGGAATCCTTTTTGGCCATCCCATCACTATTGGCAGTGGGCACAGCAGAATCAACTGGAAGGAATGGATGGAAGTTAATCAAACCCCAGTAGTCCAGGAACTCCAATACCTCCTGCCTTGCGTCCATGTCACCAACTTCAAGATCCGACAGATCTTTCAACTCAATTTGCATACTTGGATTTGCATGAAATTTCTTCATAATCCAATTACGTATCTCCATGTACACATCAGGGGTACGTATTGGGGATTTCCCATTAAAGAAAGAAGGCAAGACACACTCCTCCAGATTGTGAACTTTTGTCCATGAAAACCATCCTGTGAGTACAAAGAGAAGGGTGAATACTCAAACTGACAACAAAAGGAAACACCAAAGAATCTAATATTTCATTTTCTTCTCCTTCATTCTTTACAGCATCAGAATAAGAGGCTCCCAATGAAGCCAATTCATTTAGAGACCTACAGCAATCTGATGATAATAACTAAGATCAACATTCTCTTGCACGGCTACTAATAAGTGAGCACAAGAAATTGAATGCACACTTATTATCGTTTCCTTGAGAGATACCATAAAAATCAGGAATTACAATGGAATTAACATTTTCACAACCTTCCATTTCGAATCTTTCTTTTTCAAAATAGCAATCGTCAAACTGCATTGAGATCTAATACTAGGGCTCAGTGAAAGCACTCACATGCATAGAAACATAACGAAATCCTTGCCTTCTTTTTCTAAAGGCCAAGTGAAAAACAACTAATAAATCCTCTCCCAAGGCACAAAGATAAGGACTTTCTAGGAACATTCAATATTATCATACAGAAACAAATAAATAAAATACCCAATTTAACAACTACCTAAGAAATATTACTTTACTCACACAAAACAAAAAAAAAATTCCACAAAATTTCTCCCTTGCACTAACACCCCCCCTCCCCCCCAACGTCCCACACCTAACTAAAATTTCAAAAGAAAAGCTTCAACTTTCCTTTCCTTTCCTCCCATTTTCCCATCAACCAAACAAAAAAATTTGAAAAGAAAGAAAAACTTACCGCAATGATTAGGAACCACATGCGCATTACTATCACGAGATCTAACAGCCTCAAACTCAGCCTCAATTTTCGCTTCCAAAGCCTCCCACTCTTCACTTGCCTTGTTCAACTCTCTCCAAGTCTTCAGCCTTCACACTCTCTTTCACCAAACTCGTTTCTCAAGCTTCACACCAACCGATCCCAAACCGAAACCCAACGCTAGGTTGCCACTAGGCGCCCTTGGCGAGCCCTAGTTAAAGGACCATTATGGTTGATCAGAGAGTGGGAGATCAAGTTTGACTTCTCTCGAGCAGTCCGTTTCGACGGCGTTGATGAAGAGCTGGACCCTGAAAGAGAATTAGCTTTTCTCTTCTGTGCTCCTGCTCGACGGCGTGTTGATGACGGCTCCTGCTCGGCTGAGCTGGCCCGCCGGTGAGTTCCCCGCGTCCCGGCGTTTCTCCTCCATCACGGGTCGGGGGGTTTGGTTTTCTGGAAAAGGGTTTTGAGTCGGTTCAGTGTGAATTTTGTTGCTGTGTGCCTTTGGGATTTTGCTATTGCCAGGGTGGGATTTTGTTGCTTCCACGCTAACAAAAGCGTTTTCACAAATTAAAAGAAATAATAATTGTCGTCTGCAGTGGCGGTTCACAATTAGTGATAAGACGTTAATTTGATGGTCATTCTGTGCCGTTGAATGATTCGTTTGCATTGGGATCTGTGCGGATGTTGAAATGTAAAACTTTTTCCCTGAAAGTGCAATATTGTGCCGGTGTGAATAATTGCACCAGATTGTTCCCATCCAACAATTTTCAGGTTTTCTTTTCAATTTTTTGGATAAATAATTTTTTTTTGTCTTTTGGCAAAGCCACAATATTTTATGTAGAGCAAAGCAAATTTATACGTGTACCATTTTAAATTTATTTTAGCTGAAGAAATTAGGTAAACAAAGTTGCAAATTTCCTTATTTATTCTATTGATAAATATGCAAATAGATTCTGTCCTTTATTGGATTTTTTTATGACAAAAAAAAAGGGAAAAAGAAAAGAGCTGTTTGCTTAAATTCTTGCAAACAATATGTAAGATTAATTTATTATCAAACAATTTAGGATTTGTAAGGTTTTAGTATATTTGTATATATAAAAGAAATTATCAATGAATTACAACTAGTACTACATTCTCAAAATTTTTAATTAAAACATTTATTCTCATATATAATAAATTATATTAATTCACTTTCATTGTATATGGGAAATTATAAACCAATAATGTATCGAATATACATTTAAATACAAAAATTATTAAATTTTATTGAAAGTGTTACCAATCAAGAACATTTCCTCTCTCTCTTTCTCTCTCTTTATATATAAATGAGCAAATTATGAGGAATAACCTTTCTTAATAAGAGCATTTAAAAAATAACATCAAAATAAATTTAACTGTTTTTAGATATATTTAGTCATGACTTGATAAAAATATCCTTAAAATTATTTCAAATAAATTAAACCATTCATCAGAATTTTTCCTCATTTATACTTTCGATTTCACTCTCAACATCCCATTTTCTTTAATTTTATCGATTTCTTTCTTCGTCATTCGTCTTCTATGCTCTCGATTTCTTTCTCTTGCGCTTTCAGATTTCTCTTTCCAACACTTTGAAGACACCAAACGATAATTTTGATGTGCTTGAATGGATGACTATTTGAAGAATTTAATTTTTAAGTATTTCAGATAAAACTAAATAGTAGAAATGATAACAGATATTTGAAATAGCTTTTAATCGGATCAATTCAAGATCTAGACATCAATAAACTCAAAATTTTAAAATTTATAAATTTAGATTTTCAATGAAATTTTTTTCGATTTTTACTCAAAATAGGTGTTTTAGATAAGAAAATTTGTGTTTTGATTTATAAAAACATGCTCGAAACACTTTAATCTGTGTCAAATTATCAAAAAAATAAAAAACAAAAAAAATAAAGAGAGTTGAGAAGATTTAAAGTTTTGGTTTGTAAGTAACAACCACAATTTAGGCATTATAGTGTAACAAAATGTTTTTGAATATGACATGTAACAATAATATTTTTTCAACATGGCGTGTAATAACAGTATTTTTTTTCAACATTACATGTAACAACTTTTTTTTAACCATAGCGTGCAACATGTTTTTATATATGACGTGTAATAACAGTATTTTTTTTAACATAGTATGTAACAACCTAACCATGGCATGTAACATATTTTTACATAGCGTTTAACAACTTAACCATAACGTGTCACACGTTTTTGTACATGACGTATAACAACCTAATCATGACATGCAACATGTTTTTGTACATAGCGTGTAACAATCTAACCATGACGTGTCACACGTTTTTGTACATGGCGTATAACAACCTAACCATAGCGTGTGACATGTTTCTGTCATGGTGTGTAACATCTTAATGTGTAATTTCATTAAGAGTAATTTTATCCAATTTGATTAAAAATAATTAAAATTATAAAAGAGATTATTTTTGAAAATATCTCATTTTTAAGAGTTATTTTTTAAAATGCCTATATATATATATATATGTCAATATTGACAAATTAAGTTTAACAACTAGCAATGTATATGCTCATAATAGTGGATTAAGAACAACTAGATAATTCTCAAAATACCAAATTTTCTTACAATAACATTGATCTTCACAGACATAGCATCACATACCATCTCGGTTTTCCTCTTACTTGTGTTCCTATGAGAACACATAAAAGACTTATTTATGACAGAACATTTACCTATAACACAAACCAGACGTAGAGTGCCACTAGGCCATTGATTCCTACTAGATATTAATTCAACCCGAAGGTTTGTTCAGTTCCCCTTTTCAATCATGGTAAACGGAGACGTTAGACTCTGGTTCAACATCACTAACGAATGATTTTTTCTCTCCTTTAAGATCAGCATCGTCATCGTAAGCAGAGATGTTCGGCCTTTCTTTAGCAAATGATGATGATTTCTCTGATTTCAGATCAGCATCGTCACCATAGGCAGAGATGTTTGGCCTTGGATCGAAATCATCAGTAAATGGCTTCTTCTCTCCTTTGTTGGGCCTTGGTTGAAAATCCTCGACGATAATCTTCTCTTCCTTCAGCTCAAAGCTCGTAGGTGTATGACAGTTTGTTTTCTCCTTGGAGGAGGTAGCTGCATCAATCCGAGCAAGGGCTTCAATTGCTTCTGGCATTGCTTGGTCTCTCATTGCAGCTCTCCAATATTCCCCGGCATCTTTCCTAGCTGCTGCTATGGTGTCAGCGAACTGCATAATCAATTCATTAAAAAACAATTTCAAAACAACATATATATAGGCAAAGATCCAGGGCGATTGATTAAGCAGTCTTGGTTCCTAGACAGTATATCGAAGAGTACTGATCATTGGGTTGTTTTTGCATTACTGGTTTCCAAATTTTTGCATGTATGTTTCCTGCTTATGCTTTACAATCTCACATGCATAAAATGCTGATCATTAAAGCATTAAAAGAATCATCGAGTGATATAAAGGAAGAAAGTGGACGTTGAATATTGTGAGTTTGCTTAATGAACTTGCACAGCTTACCAGGAGAAGTGACAGGAGTGCAAAGAAAGAAAGGAAAGATTTCATGATTGCAGAAAATAGATGCAATAAACGTTAAAGAATGCTATCAGCTTCTATAATTCTCGTGTAACCAATATGCAATAGCCCTTCTGTATATATAGAGAGAATGATAGCATTCTTTAGAATTTCTGGAACAATGATTTGCGGGGTGATTAATTAATTTGAAATGCATCCTTTATCGTGTAGTAATAATTGAAGAATGAGGACCACCTTGACTTTTTTTTATTTACATAATATTTTTATAAAATTTTAAATTATTTAAAAAAATTTAAATAATTTTTTATTCAATTTTATCAAATCTATATATATATATATATATATATATATTGAATTAAATAAAGATGAGATTGTTACATAATCACGTTAATACGTTTCATTATTTTCAATCATAACAAATCAACATGCCATGTCAACACTATATGAGTATAAAATAATAAAATATTATTTTGATTAACGATAATTAATCAATCATTTGTTATAAAATAATATACAAGCTAATATAAAACTTTAATTTAATATAATAAAAAAATAAAATCTAATTTAAAATTTTTAAAATAGTCCAAATTTTTTTTTAAGTGTTATGTTTTTATTTTTTTCATCTTTTTTATTGCAAGTATCTTAAGTTTTTGCTTGACTTGATTTCTAAAACAACTTAAATCTGAACCAGGCTAAACTTTATTAATAAAAGCTAAATGGGTTGATGGAAAGTTAGTAAAAAGCAAAAGTTTCAAATAAAAGTTGTTAACAAGATTACAATAAGAATTTATTAACTTAATACATAAATTTAATAAAATTTTACTACATGAATAGGAATTAGGTACTTTTAATAATGCTTCATTTTAAAAATTAGATATTCTTTTACTGTAGCTCCAACCAGTCTATTTGCCCAGCTAGTGGATTTTAAGAAATTTAGAATATGGGAAACCCTCTCAGCTTTTAGGAATGGCAACATGTTATTCACGTGGGAGTGGCATGATTTGCACATTTTCCTCCTCAGCACTAAATGTTTATTAAAAAGTACAGTCATGAACAGAGGCAAAATTATTTTTCTAAAGCATAGAAAAAGCCCATGCCGTATTTATTATTTTAATTATAATAAATTTTTTATAAACTAATACTTGATAAATTAATAATCTCGATTAAATAATATTTTTAAAGATCAACATGATAAATTAATAATTAATTAAATTTATAAAATAATACATTTAAAAAAACACATAAGTCATTCTTATATATAAATTAATAATCTTTTTATACATCAAATCTATATATGACTCAATTAAGAGATTTTTGTAAAATATGATTCAAATGATACTTATTTTTTGTTTAAATTGATGCCTCATTGGAACTTATCTCTAACTTTTCTTAGTGTACTAAGAAGCTCTGATGTAGTGTTGTTTTTATATTGTAAGAGAAAATTATGCAATGTGATTGTTAATTTTAGTGTATCTTTTTTACGAGATAACCTCCAGTATAGAACTCTTCTTTTCAACTTCATTTCCTATGACGTTTTCAATAATTAGCTCATCACAAATAATAATAATTTGTAATTAAATAATTAAGTAATATTCATATACTCACAATATAAAACACATGTATTATGTTCAATGTTTAAAAAATAAAAAATCTCTTGATAAATTAATTTTTATTAATTAATATATAAATTAATAAATTTTTTAATTTTTAATTAAATATTATCTCGATTAATTAATAAAATTTTATGGTACCAAAAGTATTAATTTATAAAAATTTTACTGTATTATATGGTTAAATTTCATCAATTAACAACAAGAACTAATCCACTGCTAAACAACTATATCTGGTCGTGCTGGAAATGGAAGAGTCTTTGAAATCACCATGGAATTATTTTACTCTTCTGATATTTGAGGAACATTGGTACCTTGCATTGCACTTGTTTGCTAGCAATTAATCAAAGCTTTACCATAATCTATCAAAACTAACTGATCAGGTCTTCTGCAAGGCATATATATTACAAATATGATGCAAATTGCAAACCATATGCATGGGTGATGCACATTACTGAAACAAGATGTTGGGAGAATATTAAACCTTCAATGCCTAGAGTGGCTATCTTTTTCATTTGTCCCATTGCCTGGCTGTAGCACTTGCCTCTGTCTGTACAATAATTACAATTTGGAGGCACACTGTTTTTATTCAGATCTTAAGACCCACATATACTATTCATATGGAATACAATGTAAAAAAAAAATAGAAAAATAAATTTCTAATCATTAATTATACATATATGTATATATATATGTGTATATATATATATATGCAAACTTATTCTTCAATTTTATTCTATTATCTCGACAACCCTAAATCCATATTTATTAAAAGATTTTTATTTCTTTTCTGGGGGTTTAATTGATGTCATGCTTAATTTGGCTAGAAATATTGATAAACATGTAGATAAAAATTCTTTTGTTTAAAACTTATAATCTCGGTATAAGGAATAAAGATGTTAGATCTTAATTAGTAAATTCTCTGTTTATTTAGATCTAAATGTCATTATTATTGCTAGATTTGTAGCAATGGATTCCTGTTTAATTAATAACCAAAATGCATTACACTTCCCTATCTAATCATATACATAAAATGCTCAACATCTAATTATATTTCATACATTCAATCATTACAACAGTACCTTAACTTTTTGACAATAGTTGACGTGAGCCTAATACACACACATAACACAATTCTTTATTTCTCAAACACACAGACACACCTTCACGTACGGGTACAGCTTCATACTACAGAAATAGTCGAAGATAATAATTAAAGAGGCAATTCCTGCATGAAAGCAATCTTTTCAACCCTCGTAAATGCTTGCTTCTGGCCTTGGTTAAAAATCACTGACAAATTGTTTCTTGTTTTAAAGGTCAACATTGTCAGTGTCAACGGCAACACTTGGCCTCGGCGTGAAATCATTAACAAATGACAACTTTTTTTTTAGGCCAACATCGTCGGTGTAAGCAGTAGCACTTGGCCTCGGCTCGAAATCTTTAGCAAATGTCAACTTCTTTTTTTTAAGGCCAACATCGTCAACGTAAGCAGTAGCACTTGGCCTCGGCTCGAAATCTTTAGCAAATGCCAACTTCTTTTTTTTAAGGCCAACATCGTCAACGTAAGCAGTAGCACTTGGCCTCGGCTCGAAATCTTTAGCAAATGCCAATTTGTTTTCTTTAAGACCAACATCGTCTGTGTAAGCAGTAACACCTGGCCTCGGCTCGAAATCATTAGCAAATGACAACTTCTTTTCTCTAAGGCCAACATCGTCGGTGCAAGCAGGAACACCTGGTCTCGGTTCGAAATCATTAGCACTTGACAACTTCTCTTTAGAACCAATGTCGTGAGTATAAGCTGTAGCACTTGGTTTGGGGTCAAAGCTTTTAGCAAATGATGACAATTTCTTCCCTTTAAGGCCAACATCGTCAGTGTAAGCAGTAACACTCGGCCTCGGCTCGAAATCGTTAGCAAATGATGACTTTTCTCCGCTAGACCGTGGGTTGAAATCCTTAAAGAATGATTTCTCTTCTGCTGGCTTAATGTCATTGTCATAAGCCGTAGCACGATGTCCTGGCTCAAAATCCTTAACAAAAGTCTTCTCTTTCTGAGGCGCAAAGCTCTGATCAGCATCATGACAGTCGGGTTTTTCATCGGAGAAAGATGAGGCAGCAGCATCGATGCGGAGAAGGCCTTGGATTGCTTCCGCCATGGGTTCATCTTTCATTATAGCTCTCCAATATTCCACAGGATCTGTTCTTGCTGCTATGGTGTTAGCAAACTGCGCAGAATGAGAGAACAAAAATAGTTGGAGCTGTAGCCACTATAACTTCAAATAAAAATGAAATATTAGTATATGAACTATGAATGTTTTGCTAGTTTCCTTTTGTCTTTCTATTTTAAAGAATAAAATTTCTGAGTTTGTGCTTGACAATATGATCAAAGATTATTGAAACATCAATTAAATGGAAATTCAAGTGATATAAATGAAGACTTAATTTGTTTAACTTGCCGTGGAAAGAATTACATTAGCTTACCAAGAGAAGTGAGAGGAAGAATGCAGAGAGAGAAAGGAAAGATTTCATGACTGCAGAAAAGGCAATAACGTTACAAGTAGAAAACCACACTGAAAATAAGCAAATCGTTCCATTTATAGAAATAGAAAAATATGAGTAAGTATTGTTTTATAACAACCAGTATTTGTTTTTACATTCGTAGTAATAAGTGAAAATTTATCTTTTATTTAGTTATTAATTTTTTTTGAAGTATAAATAATTAAAATTTTATATTTTCTTGAAAAGGAACTTTTATAATATTAATAGGTAAATTATTTAAAATTGAGAAAATGTTTTTTTAATAAAAGTCATTTAATGCAATAAACGTTTTCATTTACAAATTAGATAAATTTTATTAATAGTTTTAACAAAAATTTTAAAATAATAATTTAGAATAAAATAAACAAATATGTCCATTTTCGTAGATAAAAATTTTTATTTCTTTATGTGCTTTTACATAGATTATAGTTATAGATATTCAAGAAGTCATGATTGATACGGATGATTAATTTTTATCTAACAGCATCTTACAAGTGCATTGTTGTGATGGGGGAGGCATTTTTTAATTTTTGAAAATATTTATATCTTTTTACATATCTTAATATATATACACACACATATAAGGAGAATATAATCATATATATTTTTAATAATGATAATTTTAATAAAAAAATTAAATATATTGAAAGTAATTATTCATAATCTACATAGCTATATCATAAACATTACAAAAAAAATTGAGTTTTAATCACATTTTTCCAAACAACATATTTTTTTTGTATAGTAAAATTTTAAAAAGTGCATCTATTTAAACTTTGGGTTTCACTTTTTCACATTTAATAGTAATATAAAAAAGATAAATTTTTATTAGTATATGCAATTTCTATCGTTACATTTTATTAATAATACATTTAAAAATTTATATATTAATATTAGATCTACAACAATATTTTAAAAAACATAAAAAAAGTGTTATTAAAAATATTTTTAGTAGTCCAGTTTAAAAATTTGTTGCCTTAAGTCAAATTTGTTGTAGTAAAATATACGTGCAGGTGTACGTACTTGATATACTATTCATTGTTTAAAATATTTATACTTTATTGTATAATTTACTTTGTGTTATCAAACAAATATTTGCGTATATATATATAAATGTTCACTATCAAATTTTTTTAATGATAACAATGTCATTTTCAAATAAAATTATCATTCTAAACATAATATAAAAATGATATGATTTCCTTAAAAAAATTTAATTCATTTAATGACAAATATCATACCTTATCTATACGTATTTATATGATTATTTATAAGCCTAATATTCCTAACATAATGTAGAATAAATGTAGATTTTAAAACCATTCATTGTATTTATATATATTAGTAATTAATATAATTTGAATACTTTTATTTACATTACTGATATATACTATTTTTAATATAAAATTTGAACTTATTCATAATTTGTTTCCAATAAAGTTATTATTTAATCAATTACACCCCCATTTCTTTTTTGAGATACAATAATGACCTTTAGCTACAAATACTTAGTGAATGATTTCTCTTTTTTGAGACCAACATCGTCAGTCAAGATCATTGGCAAATGATTTCTTCTTTTTGAGACTAGGCAGTAATGCTCGGCTTTGGCTTAAAATCATTAGCAAAAAAAGAATTATTTTTCTTGAGAACATTATCATCACTGTAAATAGTATCCTCAGTCAAAATCATCAGTGAATGTTTTCTCTTCTCTTAAGACCAACGTCGTCATTGAAAGTACTAGTACTAGCCTTTGCTCGAAATTATTTGTAGTTCTCAGTCTTGGCTCGAATTCATTGGCAAATCAAGCATTGGTTGGACCAATGTACTCTTGTGGTTACTTTTATTTGGATTTATCTGTATGATGCAACATGTCTGCAACTGCACGCTATATCGCTTTGCACATCTGGAAGAACAATAATGACCTATCAGTGGAGGAAAAGCATCTTTTTCTCTTACATACAGCATAGAGATCCTTATCTGTACAAGGATTTGATTTTATTTGTTGCTCTTTTCTCTTCCATTTAATTAGGTGGAAACAGGAATTAATCAATTAATGATGAATATTCAATTTCAGCTTATGATAATTGAAAAATAAAAATCATGGGTAATTGTTAAGAGAAACCATCAATTTGTCTGTTATTCATCAAATTTATTAAGTTTTAATTTCAAAGTCTAATAATGCTTGACCATGCAACTAAATTACACAAGCAATTATTGGAATCATTCCAAATCTGTTAATTACAAGAAAATTGAAAGGGACTAAAGAAAAGCTAAAAGTAGTAACCTTCCCTGGATTCTTCGAATGTGGGTATGCTCCCTCAAATCAAAGATACTTTATTTCCTTATTTGTCAAAGCTGGTAAAACAGAGAAAAGTAGACCATCCTTTTTGGAAGATGGTCCAAAATCCATTATCATTCATCTTTAATTCGAATCCATGCCACCCAAAGAAGAAAGGGAATAGAAAATTATTTACTAAAGCAACCTTGTGTGAAATGTATTAATGATATGACAGACAAAGCAATCCCCATTAAGGATATTGTTTTCTAATGCATTAAATTTTGATAATGTCTTTGATTAAGTAGAAGATTATGGAATATGGTGGCTAGTCACTTCAAGATTATTTTTTTTTCAAATTCATGTAATATTTTCACGTGACTCAATATCTGCAAGCTGCTCCTATCCTTTAGCCAATTCATCCTTTCGACTTTGTTCTTGAAAAACTTTGCTAATTGTTTTGATGAATTTGGGAATTTACCTAGCTAGATTAGATTTTGAATAAAAACAATGTTAAATTTTTATAATTAAGTTAAGATCTATCATAATAAAATTTTAAAATACAAAACCATATTCGATTAATTTGGCAGCACAAATAACACTATCCAAATTAATTGTTGAATTTCGATATACTATGATTTTTCTCTTCTTCTCTATTTTCTTCTATAATGGATGGGAATTTTATTATCATTGCTTAAATAGGAAACCTAACTTTACTTGTATATAGTGAATCTTTAACCTTAATCATTATTATAAGATTTAAAATTTCTTACACGGATTTATATTTTTTAACTCACATATAATATTGAAATTTAACCTATTTTATTAGATCATATTATGAATTATAATATTATTTTTTATCAAGATCAAATTAACTTACTTCGATTTTGATTAAATATAAAAAATAAATAATACAAATCCATACTTTAATTCCAAAAAAAATCTAACGAATTATTTATGAAATAAACTCTGAGTAAATACTACTAGTATCAACTATCAAGCATGAGGAATTTCAATGGCAAAAACAAAAGTCGGGGGAATTGATTTTATATTATTGAATGTTAAATTAATGAAAAGAAAAGATTTTTCTTTATCCTTTTTCCTGGTGTTGCTTCTTCACAGATCTTATACCCCACCTGCAATAATTCTTCAATTTGGAAATATAGATAGGAGACGCAAAGGATAATGCATGGGTAGAAGACAACATAATCTCAATCAGGTTGTGTTCTCTGACTAGAACCAAAATTAATTTATTTGATTTGACATGTCACAATAATGCAATGAATTTCACATGTATAAAATAAATATTGAATTTCATAGTGACAAATTTTAGTGAAAATTTAACACTGGCTCTTATTGTATGTTTATCGTCTTTTAATTTTATATGGGTCTTGTTGAATTATAAGGTTTAGTGTTAAAACTTTTATGATGTGACCCCATTGATTCTAGTTTTAGTGACAATAAGACCCCGGAATGTGACAAAGCCTTGAATTTGAGATAAAATTTACCATTACCTTTGTCATCTTGCATATGAGATTCTTAAATTTTTTTTGCATTGTATTTTTCTTGTTGAAACTAATGCTGTTGCTTAGCCCCAGCTTGGGTAGGTGAAGTATTCACTAGTTAGATATTTGAGCATTCAGCTTCTTCAATGATTGAGCAAAATTAACATGATCCTTTGATAGAAGAGCAGGTTACATCAGGGGGGAGTTAGAACATTTTTGAAGGGGGTGCCAAATAGAAAGAAACATTAAACAATAAAATACAACTTTATATATAATTCAATTATCACTCATCTAAAACATTAAATAAAATTCACAAGACATTAAACATGCAAAAAGATATACATTAACAATAATGATGGTGTTATATATATATATATATATATATATATATATATATATGACTGAATGGAATCATAAAAGGAGTCTCTCCCACTCTCTGCACATAAGAGTGGAAAAAAATAATTTTTTAAATTCAAATAAATTATCTCTTTACTTTGTGTGTTCTAACTCTCCTTTTATTTTCTATTTGCCTCTTAAATTGTTAATTAACAGATTGAGTTATCGGGTAGAACTATTGAGATATAATATGTTATTATAGCCTATTAGGTTGGACTGCTAAGATATAATATGTTACTATAAGATGAGATTTATTTTAAAACTTAATGGGTTATAATTAGTAGACTCACTTTTATATTTTTTAAATTTGATAAACTTAACATATTATTTTAGAATATATTTGTTGGGCTTGACTAACAATATATTAACTATAATGACTCCAATTTTATCCAACATTTGAAGAATAAAAATAATTATTAAATAAAAAAATATTTAGAGAGGCATTAAAAATATGTAATAAATAAAATTATATTGAAAGAAATGCAATTATTTCATTCTACCAATTTATATATATATATATATATATATCTTTGTTATTTAAATTTTGCAACATACATGCTAGAATGCATTGGTTATTCTAAATAAAAAATAATATATTGATGAAATTCTACACTGCAACTTATATTTAAGATTATATAATAATTTAGTTATTTTTAAATATTAAAATCATAAAAAATAAAATCTACATAATAGAAAAAAAAAAGAGAACATGATAAGCAGAAGATAAAATCCACATATGATGTAATCAAAAAGAAAGAAAATGAATATGATTGATGGTTCATAAAAATTTATGAAAAAAAAAATCTATAGAAATTTAAAATATATGAGTAAATAAAATAACAATAAATAAATAAAAAATAATAAAA